ACGCAATTTGACCATTAATTGTTTCAACAAAAGGGGTCCCATTTTCGGTGCCCTCGTTTCACAAAATTGTTAGATGATAATGAAGTTTTTAAGTTGCTAGTTCTTGAACTTATAGCTAACCTGCATCTCTGCATGTAGTCGCAAAATGTCCCCCTCCACATTATTCATTTGACTTAGTTTCTGCACAGGACACCAACCCTAAATAATTAAAAGAAACGTTTGAGAAGGATTATAATTTATAAACCCTTTTATTCTGGGTGCGGAGGAAGTTAGAGTGGGCGCAGAACTAATCAAGGTTTGTTTTGCTTTGCACTATTTAAATTAGTAGAGAGGTATTAATTAACAAATCAAGCAAGATACATGCTAATCCGCGTTTAATATGTAGTTATTAATGACTATATCTGGTAGGACTGTTCATAATTTTTCAAAGCTTCGAACTCATCGATTAGCAATACATAAAATTGATTTAAATATGTGTTGACAAATTAGGGTCAACGTGTACGTAGGTTGACTTTGCTTAACTTGCATTATGATAAAGAAGAGGGGCAAAAACTAACCCTGCTTTCCTCTTTTCCCTTGCCTCTGCCTCCACACACATAAACTCATGTATACAAGTGGTGTTGATTGTTGACTATATATGAAGCGACAGAAGCATACTATACAGGGACGACATTATATCACTCGCGCACAAAAGTTAAGTTTCCACCCTACGGCACTAATTATTCACTTAGATTGAGCTATTTTCACGTATATGATTTGGCTTTTTCTACGAACTTTCGTAAATATCATCTATTGATCAATCAATGTTTTCCACGTACTCTTATTCTGCATGAATGGCAGAATATCCTAATATGGGACAAGGAAATTTTCTTTTTCTTTCGACGACGGATATCGATAATCCACACTATTACTAATGTATTTTGAGAAATTGAAGAGGTACAACTAGCTTTTTTTTTTATCAACAGGTACAACTAGTTTTTTTTGACAATAGGTTGCATTTCATTCATTATCGATGATGGTACAAGCTGAGCCTATTACAGAAGAGGAGAGATTAAATCAAGAATATGGATCCATTGAGTAGGAAGAGTTCCTCTCGCTGATTCTCTGGCTACCCAATGAGCGCTTTTGTTGTTGCTTCGTGGAGTAAAGCAGACCTTGATTCCATCATTTGAGGAAAGGATATGTCATACAAAGAAGCCAAGCTCTGACATGCCATGGCCAAGTAGCTCCTTGCCTAAGGAGAGCATTTGTGAGAACTTGGCAGTCAGGTACAACTAGTTAGAAAGACTAAAAATGAATGTAATTGCTGAACTTGTTGAGAGGACAATCAAAACCATCGTACAAAATTACAAATAAATTGCATGGATAGAAATGGACTAATCCGAAAACTAAAATAATTAAACGGCAAAACAACAGCGGCGGATGCAGAACACAGAAGTGCATTGGGCCGCATTTTATTAGAAAATTAGAATCGTAAAAAAAAATATAATGATTATAATTTTTTTTACAATGTAAATTGTACACGACGGTATTTTAATTTGGCGAATGCATTAATAATGGAGTCCACATCCATACCAATAGTATACACTATTTCAAATAAAATACTTGAGCAATCGGCTAGAAATCCATCGCTCATTTTGTTGCGCAAATCAATTTTCACATGTTTCATTGTTGAAAAGGTTATCTTCGTATTAGCTATTGAAACGAGCAGCATCAACACTAGACAAATCAATCTACTAATCAATTTGCATTGTGTTTCTATCCCTATATCCACCAGTTGCTCTAGTAAATTTTCAAGGGAACAAACCTCATATATGTTTTAGTCTTTTACGTTTTAAACTTTTTGAATTTTAGGTTTCATTATTTTTTTGGGTAAATACAATATATTAGCCACAACTATTCTGAAGCGGGGAATTATAGCCACAACTATGAAAATTCAAATTCTTAGCCAAACGTTAACTCTCTGTTAACAATTACGTTAATAATGCTGACTTAACTTTTATGTTTTAAAGTTATAAATTAAAAGCAGTCCGACGTGGCTGCTGCCGTGGTCGATGACGTGACCTTCTCCGTTAAAAATTCAATAATAATAACGGACAGTTAGCCATATATTGACCCGCAGCAATAATTATGGCTAATAATTTGAATTTACATTGTTGTGGCTATAATTACCCGCTTTATAATAGTTGTGGCTAATATATTGTATTTACCCTTGTTTTTTAGAAGAATAACTTTTGGGGTTAGAATTTATAAGCTAAATTTAGAGTAGTGATTTTGAATATGTTCATCTGAATCATTTTCTAATTATACCTAATCTTATTTTAAATAACAACGACCCGTATATCTAAAATCGAAAAATTCATAAGGCCTATACTAACTATGGATCCAGTTGGTTTGTTGGTGCGAGATGGGGGTTGCTGCTGTTGATTTTCCGCTGCTTCCTCAGCGTTGTCGCTCGTGGGCTGTTGGTTTGTTGGTGCGAGATGGGTGTTGCTGCTGTGTTTTTGTGTTGTTTGTCTGTGTCTTTTTTCGTGCGCTGCCTGTGAAGCAGTATCCAGGTGTCCGCCTGTGATGTATTGTGTTCCTAGCAGGGGTGGCTCGGTCCACCTAGCTGGTTTTTGTGCGGATCGATTGTGGCTCTCTTGGCCTCCCAGGTCTCTCTTTTCTGTTTCGTTTCTGGGCAGGTTTTTTGCGGCCTCACTCTGTCGCTGTACTTTTTTGCTTTTCTGGGAAGTTGGGTTCAGTTGCTTGTGAACCCCTCTTCCTTTGACTCTTGTTTCGATTTTGGTTCGTTTTCCTTTAATTCAATCATCATTATCAAAAAAACTATGGATCCAGAGAAGGGCTGGACCGGGAATCATCCGTACCTCACACCATACGGCCGGAAGGGTAATTAATTATATTCGTAATCTAATCTACAGTCATAACCCTTAGTCGGACATGTTTAATTATATTTAGATTAGGCCGTCGGCCAGATTGATTATGAAGGAAATAAGTCAACCGGCAGGGCCATTAAAAAAAACAACCGGCAGTGAAGCCGGGCCGATATATGCTAACGCCGGCCATGGCAAAGTCAAGGGGTCTGACGACTCTGATATGAATTCTCCAAATCCAATCCCGCTGCGGCTACCGGCAGCGCCATTGCCCATTGATCGCCGGCTTGCCGTACAGTATATTTTATTCTGCCGTGAATATATTCATGTTTGGATATCCTTTTGTCACCATTTTGAATTTTAAAAAGTTATACTTTCCCATGGTTGCCGTCAGGACCAAACCATTAGTTCATATTTCACCATCGTGTAATTAAGGACTGCCGCCGGCGCAATTTCCACACGCCCGCCCTTATTGAACTTTGGATCCCTTTGATTCCGCATAAGAAAACATTTCATGAGTGATGACGAGTCTGCTAGTGAAGTCTTTGCAAGCCTTGTTCACAAAACAAGAATGGGAACGAGATGCAGTGGCGTAGTCAGACTTTGTGTTCATTGGGGTCCTTAAGAATTTACTAACACTAAAGTCCGTGTATCTAATGAACTTTAAAATTGATAGGAGTTCTTTGGTTGGCTAACACCGACGAGCATATGGGGTCCTAAGAGAAATTGTTTAGCCAGTTGTTAAACCACCGCGATAAGATGAATTATTTTGCCACAAGACGATCAGTGGTATTGTTATACTACGAGGCGCGAAATGGAATGATGCGGGCTTGAGAGAAGCGTTTGGAACCTCTGAACTTCTCTCAATTTGATAGCATGCAAAGCGTGCGATGAATCTGTCGCATGTACTGATCACCCAGATAAATAACTACCTAAGCATCACCATAACGTTTTCTGAAAGATTTTTTCGGCTTGGCGGCGTCCCGTTCGTAATTTTTTTTCGGCGCGCCGTGTTTCTCGCCGGAAAACTGGAAAGCTTGCCGGAATATTGAACTTACTTGTTTTCCGACGATTGAGGGCGACGAGAGGTTGGCCGGCGACGGAGGCACTGGGCTCGACGACAAAAGTTTTTGTTGGAATGAGTCAAATGTTAATGGTATCCTAATTTATAGAATGAAAGGAAGGGAAAATTCAAATTTTAGATTCAATTTTTTTTTTGGTTGGCGCCAAATAGACATTCACATATTGGAAAAACACCATTGGACGACATCTCAAAGTGCCAAAACGGACAACTATAAATCGTTAAATCACCCATAGGAAAACTTTATGGAGCATTCCCTGTGTGAACCCAACATAACCAATAGACCCACCCACCCTATCGAACTTGACCGTAAAAAGGTAATAATTGATTATCACGACATAGAACTTAACGAAATTATATGGTCATTGTCAACGACGAAATGAGGTTTAAAGCGAGTGACATACAAGTGAAGAAAAAAAGTTAATTTCAAACACGAAAAATTGAGTAAACCGAGTGACCAAACATCTAATTTAACCCAATCGAAATCAAAACTTTAATCTCCGGCGATACAATTTCAGAAAGCGAGGAAAAGAAAACTGCAAACGAGCAGAATGGAGCAGAGAGTGACGGCGGACGGCCGGCCGGCCATCTCAGTCCAGCAAACCCATCTCCTTAGTTAGCATCCACGCGGCTGTTTATCCGCTCCTTTCCATCCTCCAACCAACTCACAAAAATGGGGGGAAAGATTAAACTAAAAAATGTCGTCGCCATGACTCCAAAAGTCCAATGCTCCCTCGCCATTTCTTTAATAACTCTCTGTATTTTCCTTCCCTCCATCGCCATCCAACCGTTTTGACTCCGCCACTCTCCGTCTATATATACTCCCCTCTTCCCCCTACCAAACCTTCATCATCAAATCCCACTACAAAATCATCTCTTTCCCCTGCTTAAATCACTCACAAAAACAGAGAGCAAAAATCCCCTGTTTTTCAAACACAATTCCCCTCTTCGTTCCATTAGACATGGCTCGTGCTTCTGGTATTGTGTTGATCCTATTGGTTGTTATCTCCGCTTCGTTTCTTTCCAACACGGAGGCGAGGAAGCTGATGGCGACGAGCGGCAGCGGTGGAGCAATAAGCTTGCAAGCTCTGTTCCAGAGCTTGCTTCTCAGTGCCCTTCCGAAGGGCACTTCTCCGAGCAAGAAGGGTCAGTCGACGACGACGTTGGATAATGTGGAGAGTTTTCAGAGGCATCTTGCTCGTGTGGATCGGATCCTCGGCTCTGTTCCCAGCCCCGGCGTCGGACATTAATTAATTACCTCCCCTTTCACTCTGTTTTGGTTTTGCTTTTTATACAGTAGGAAACAGAGTACTTGAACATTGGCGATTTTTGTTTGATTCGTAGGCAGGAAACTGTATAGACACACTGAAATCTCTTCTTCTTTTCTGGGTTTCTTTTTGTTTTCGTTCATTTATGCTCAATTTCTACTTGTATTGCTGTCATTACAACTCTGGGGATTGTATCTGTTATCATCAACCCCTTTATACGAAAGAGAAATATATCATTATACATCACAGAATGTTTACTCGCGTAACGCATTCCCATCCAATTGGAGGCTTTGTGTGAAATCTCCAGAGGCCGGCAGGATTCGAGCTTTGCTTTTTCGAATTACCTTTAATTTTATGATCACAGATGAAGAAAAGGCAGAGTTCGGTTACACATCTCCATATAATAATATTGTTTTCTACCTGCTCCATTCTAAGGTAGTTGATTGGCAGTTCGATAATTCAAGGGGATCTTAATCCTGAAAAAGCCATTGTTGCTGCCACCAGTTCATACTTCTGTAGGCTTCTGTTGCAGAAGAAGTCTCTGGCAACTTGATGTACTCGACTATGGAGAAAATTTGCTAGGGTAGAAGCAAAACCCTCAAAGGTCAGGGTTGCTCTATTTGCCGTATACATATCAGGCTCAAAGTTTGATTTGTTCTTAGGAGACACTTGTCTGTTTTCCACTGGCCCTATTACAAAATAAGCACTGTTTAACAACGGCTATTACGCCTAACATATAAACGACACTGTTTCGTTTAAGCAGAGTAAATAACAAACAAAACGACTGCGTTCCTTCTTCAGCTAAACGACTCCGTTCTTCCTTTCGTCCTGCTTCTCTTCTGTCCTTCACTTCACCTGCAACTCCTTGTGGCATCAGGATTCCAAGGTCTGCTGACATCCCCCTTCAAGTTGCGGGTGCTCCTGTTACTCCCAACTTGCCAAGTAGATCCTTCAGCCTATGCCTGATGGTGATTGACATCCCTTGGCACTCAGATATCCAGTATTTGTCAAAAGATCCATGCAGTATTTCCTTTGGCACATAGTTAGGCCTTCTGCAGTCCTGTTTACTTCCAAGCCCAGAAAATACTTTAAGGGTCCCAACAACTTGATCTTGAATTCCTTACTTAAGGATTTCTTCACTTGATCTATGTCTTTCTGAGCATCTCCAGCCAGTATAATATCATCTACATAAACAAGTAAGATGACAATTCTACCATGTACCCACTTAGTGAACATAGAGTAGTTTGAATTTGATTGATAAAACCCATTCTTCAAAAGAAAACCAGTTAACCTTGCAAACCATTGTCTTGATGCTTGTTTAAGACCATACAAAGATTTCTTTAGTTTACAAGCCATTCTTTTTGGACTTCCAGGAGGCAACTCTATTCCCAAAGGCACCTGCATATAAACATCTTCACAGAGATCACCATTTAAGAAGGCATTAGATACATCTAACTGCTCAAGAGTCCAGTTCTTCACAGCTGCTATGGCTAACAAGGCTTTTACTGAATTGATCTTGGCCACAGGAGAGAAAGTGTCCAAGAAGTCAATCCCATAAATTTGTGTAAACCCTTTAGCCACTAGCCTTGCCTTGTACCTTTCTATAGAGCCATCCTGCTTCAGTTTAAGTTTGAAGACCCACTTACATCCAACTATATGTTTGTCAGGTGGTGCTTCCACAATTTCCCAGGTCTGGTTTGCTTCCAGTGCATGTATCTCTTCAATGACAGCTCTATTCCACTCAATGGACTTGACTGCTTCATGATATGAGGTTGGCTCTTCATGTTTCAACAACTCAGGGCATAAATTCTATCCTTTTCATTCAAGCAATCAACATTTAGACACATAGGATGCTTATTTGTGGCTGCAGCGTGCCAAAAGCTCCAAATGTCAACTGTGGATCCAAGTCATAGTCATTGAGCTTTGCTGGTAATGTTGGTTGCCTGTTTGACTTCCTTAAAGGAGGTTCAAACTCAGCATGTGGTATTAACTCACACTCCTGTTCAGACTTATCAGCTTCATGAGAAGGCTCATATGAAGTTTCAAAGGGTTCAGGCTGCTGGTCTGCTTCTGCTTCACTGAAGGTTGGATCCCCCCTTGCAGCTGAGACTGGATCAGAAGTCTCAGGTGCCAAAGAAATAGAAGGAGGAGCAGCAGGCACTAAGATAGGAGGAGCTGATGTAGAAATCAGCAGGGGGTCAGAGGGAGGAAGGGATGAAGAAGATGCAGATATGTCCTGTGAGTCTCTAAAGGGAAGGATGGTTTCATAGAAAACAACATCTCGAGACAGAAACACCTTTCTACTATCCAAATCCAAGAGCTTATAGCCCTTTACACCTGCAGGTATGCCTAAAAAGACACATTGCCTGGCTCTAGGAGAGAATTTGATCCTGTTATGACTTAAGGTACTGGCATAACATAGGCTTCCAAACACTTTGAGATTACCAAGATAGGGCTGATGTTGATAAAGCTTTTCAAAGGGAGATTTACCATGTAAGATAGGAGTAGGCAAACGATTTATCAGGTGAACTGCATGTAAAATGCAGTCACTCCAGAAAGTTAAGGGAAGACCAGACTGAAACCTTAAGGACCTAGCCACATTGAGGATGTGCTGGTGTTTCCTCTCAACCCTGGCATTTTGTTCAGGGGTTTCCACACAAGACATTTGGTGTTCTATCCCTTTGTCCATGAAGTAATCTTTCATATGAAATTCCTGTCCCTAATCACTTCTAATCACCTTAACAGATGTATTAAACTGGTTTTCAACCAATGCATAGAAACCCTTCAACAATTCCCTGGTTTCATGTTTGTGTCTCATAAGATAGACCCAAACTGCTCTTGTATGATCATCCACCACAGTTAGAAAATAGGAATAACCATCATAAGATTCAACAGACAAAGGGCCCCAAATGTCAACATGAACTAATGCAAAAGCACAATCTGCAATACTGGTACTAACAGGGAAAGGAAGTCTTTTGTGTTTAGAATAGTGACACACATCACAATGTAGGATTTTAGTGCTAGTTACAGTGGAATTTGATTTCTGCAACATGGAAATCCTATCACTACTAGCATGTCCTAATCTCCAATGCCAAATGTCAAACTGGACAGGGTTGAAGTTGAAGATGGTGGCTGCTTGTGGTTCTAGCTTCTGGTCTTGGTTTGGTGGTGAAAGGGTGAGATGATATAGACCTCTATGCTCTCTTGCTAAACCAATCGTCTTCAAGCTTAATTGGCCCTGAATATGACACAGATTGGAGTGAAAATGTAAGACCAAAGGGCAATCATTGGTGAGTTTGCTAACTGAAACTAGGTTGAAAGCAAAACTAGGAACAAGAAGAACATCATGAAGGATTAGTCCTGAGGATAGTCTAACCGTGCCAATATGAGTTACCAAGACCCTAGTTGTATTAGGCATATTCACAAAAGTGTTCTGTACTGGTTTGTACTGGACAAAAGAGGTTAAAGAACAAGAAATGTGGTCTGCAGCCCCTGTATCTAGAATCCAAAGATCATTGGCATTGGTTTGGTTAAACTGACTAGATGTGGACAGGCTATATCTACCTGAGAAACTGGGATATGGTGGAAAAGTCTGAGACACTGAGTATGCATTATGAGGTAGTGAGGGTGAGAGTGGTGGCGAGGAGACACTGCTAGTACCAGATTGCATCATGTACCTGAGCTTGTTCATCTCCTCAGGTGTAAATCCAACCACAGTCTTAGAAGAACTTACTGGACCACCATTTGGAGTTTCATTGGAACTTGCATAGCTCTTGTCAGGAGTGGAATCATTAGAGCTTGCCTGTGATATTGATCCTGCAAAGCCACCAAGATTGTTTTGTGCTCCTCCTGAGGTATTCCCACTTTGCATTTCCTTTTTCTTCTTGGCTCTCCAGCACTGTTCCACATTGTGGTTTGTCCTCTTGCAGAAAATGCCGAATTTCTTTCCTTGTCCTCTTGGTCTGTCCTCTTCTTCTGCCTCAACAGCCAATGCCGCACTTTGTGTTCTCCTTCCACTTCCATGTGATTCAGACTTCAATTTTTGCTCATACTGGAGCAGATCATCCACTGCTTCAGAAACAGTAGGCAGTGGTTTCCTAGACAGTAGCTGACTCTTGATGATTTCATAATCTGGGTGCAGGCCCCTTAGAAATCGAATGAGATAGTCAGTCTCCTGCCTCTCTGTGTAGGCCACTACAGCATCACATGGATTGACATTCCCTGGAGCACAATTACAGGGAACAATAGGACTAAACAGCATGAATTCTTCCCATAGACCCTTAATGTCATTGTGATAGTGGTTGATGGTACGGTTCCCCTGCTTGCATTTGTGAATATCATCCTCCAAATTAGTAATACGTATGGCATTGGGCTTTCCATACCTTCTTTTCAACTCATCCCATAAAACTTTGGCACTGACATGGTTCATAACAGAACGCTTAAGATCTTTGTGAAAGGAATTCAAAATCCATGAAAGAACAGCTGTATTACAACCATCCCACAGTAAGAACATCGCATCATTCGGTGGAGGCATTGCTATGCTTCCATCGATGAAGCACATCTTGTGTTTCATTTTCAGACCCATGATTACTGAACGACTCCACATAGTGTAATTTGTGCCATCAAACACCTCAGTTCCTATGGATTGGTTCGGCGCTTCATTAGGGTTCAAGTAGAAAGGGTTACCAAAAGTTATCACTTCAGATCTGACGGTATTCTGCTGCTGCTCATTTTGCTGCTGCTCAGTGTAAGTACCAAACTGGAAACCTCGAACACCAGACATTGTTGCTCATGAGGTTGCTGATCCAGTTGCAGCCTCCTTTCCATGGCTTGACTGCGGTGGTGTGCTCGCCATTGTAACCCTAGATGCGTTGCCGCTCTGATACCATATGGAGAAAATTTGCTAGGGTAGAAGCAAAACCCTCAAAGGTCAGGGTTGCTCTGTTTGCAGTATATATATCAGGCTCAAAGTTTGATTTGTT